GAGCAAATTTGCTCAGGACCAGGCAGGGGGACAGGCAGACTGTTGACTCTTGAGCAAAACTCCCCTTTGGAGGATGGCAGAGGAGGCCTCGGGATGCGCGTAGGGAGGCCAGCGGCCTCTTGCATAACCCAGGAGGCCTCCTGCCCACCCAGGCCTTTTCAGGGTTAGGGGTGAGGCAAACCGCAAACTCATGCCCAGTTAATTTTTTAAGGCAAAATCAACAGTCTCAGCAATGATTAGCAGGCAGGTAAGTTCATCTTAATCATGCTGAGGAGAGGGAGGGAGGAAAGAGGCCTGTGGAGGCCCGGGGATGGGGCCCAGTTATCAGTTAACCATGTGAATAGTGTTTCCTTCCAAACCCACTGGCCTTCAGCCCCAGCTCCCTCGTCTTCCTCTCGGAAATGCTCCTAGGGCAACCTGGTGGCCATCAGTCACTGAGTGAACAAACACACGGGGCCATCCACGGTCTGTAGGAGAGGAAGCGAAGGGGACTGACCTCCTTGTTCAGTCCAAGCTTACCTGCCACCACTGAGTGGCCTGGAGCAATTCCCACGTCCCTTCCAGCCTCTGGGGCTCAGGGAGGGGCCCCCTGGTCTCTGGCCAGCTCCACTCTTCAAACGGCAGCAGCTTCCCTTTGCCGACAGCCTCAGGGTCTCCATGTGCCAAAGGAGGGGGTCAGGGACACAGCCTGTCCAGTGCTGTGGGGTCCCTTCGGGATTAAGCCATGGCTGTGTGAGCAGGTGGTCCGTTGGGGAATCCAGGAGGAGCCCAGAGGCCCAGACAGCCAGGGGGCCTACCTGGCATCTGCTGTTGAGACCAGCAAGCATCAGATCCCAACTCTGGGCAGGAAGCTGTCCTCTCAGGTGGGAGGTGGGGGTCCTTGGCGGACCCCAGCTGCCCTTGGCCTCCTACCCCAGATCTGGGGAGCTGTCGGGAAGCAGCCAGACCAGGCCAGCCTGGGGCCAGGTGGCGGCTAGACTGGAGTTTGGTCAGCAGTTGGGAACCTATATTGTGAGATAGTTAGGACTTTGTCCACAAACTGGAATTTGAAATTTCAAAGGGGCAAAACTGAAGGGCCCTATCCGACAGGGGAGATGGCTCTTGGCTTCTTTCCCCCACGACTTTTGTTCTTTGTCTCCATAAAATCCTGGTTTTCCCTGCCCCACGCCCCGCGTGGCGGGTGGCAGAGAAAGAGTAGGAGTTGCTGGAGTGGTGAGTCCCCAGGAGAGGACAGGCACCAGGTGGCCCTGGGGTGGCTGGGCACCTGGAGGATGCCTCTCAACCTCCATGTGTCTGGGGACCGGATTGTGGCTCCTCAGGCCCTTGGGTGCCCTGGCTGTGTCTGGAACCAGCCCTGAGCTCCAGAATTCTGGAGTTCTTCTGGAGACTCCAGGGGTAGGGCAACAAGGGAGCTCTAGAGCCAGGCGGTCCAAATGGCAGCCCCTCTGCTGCACGCTGAGGCCTTGGGACAGTCATTTCACCTCTCTGAATCTCAGTTTTGCCACCTATCAGATAAAATGAAGAGTTTTGGTTCTCAGCACCAGGCCTAGCACATCTCTATAAACATTAGCCATTAGTGTAATTTAAAAGAAAACTCTGCCTCCTATAGTGGTTCGCCCTTACCTGTGCATGGCAGAGGCATGTGATCCGGGCCCACGGGTGGCAGCCTCTCCTTCCCTTCTTAAACTCCTCTCCTGGACCTTCAAGCGAGCTCTGCCGTCCTGTCAGCTCCTGGGAGCTGCTGCCCTTTGGAGCTGGGTCCTGACAGCTCCAGAGGAAGGGGAAGAATCGATGGCTTCAAGTCCAGGGCTCATTCAGGGCCGGGCAGGCCACACCTGGGAGCTTTCCAGAGATAGGGTTCCAATTCCCAAAGATCCTGTGGCCAGCAGCTCAAGGAGTCCAGCACCAACAACAGTGACCCCCTGCTATTTTGCCCTTCAAGGGATTGGTTCCAGGACGCTCTCCAAGGCCAAAATCAGTGTTTCAAGTCCTTACTATAAATTGCTTAATATAATTTGCACATGACCTACAGACATCCTCAATCATTACGAGATATACTACCGAATACATTGTGAATGCTCTGTAAATAGTGGTTATACTGTATTGTGTAGGCAAAGAAATAATGGCAAGGGAAAATCTTCTGTGCTATAGCCAGGTGTGGTCCCAGGTCTTTGGGAAGTTAAGGCGGGAGGATCGCTGGAGGCCAGGCCTTGAGTTCAAGGCCAGCCTGCACAACATAGCGAGACCCGTCTCAAAAACAAACATCCTGCACACACGTTCAGTTGTGACACAAATTTTTCCGTCTGAGGTTGGTTAAATCCTCTGATTCAGAAACTCTGGGTCCAGAGGGCCTGTATGTGGCCATTCAATGCCTGCTCCATCCCCTGAAGAGGAGATCAGCCCCATTTTTCTGATGCTGAAAGTAAAGCCAAGAGAAGTCGAACCTGAGATCCCAGAGTTTGGTCAATTACAGCACCTGAATTTTGACCCAGATCTGTCTGACTTTCAAGCTTTATGGTTTATGCCCCTAAAGGGAAATGGTGGGGTAGAAAAACTGCGGACCATATAGTATTTTCTCATTTAATCTTTTTTAAAAAAATCCCTATAAGTTAGGCCCATTGTTTGGAAGGAGAATCCAGTGATTCAGAATAACTCACCTGAGGTGCAGAGCCAGGGGATCTCACAGGCAAAGTGTCATTTATGGGAGGAAAGTAGATGTGCAAGACACTGTTCCACGTTGGCTGAAGGTGGGGTGAATTGTGTATATGCTAGAAGATGCAATCTGTAGTTGACAAACAGGTAGATTTACTTCTGGAGTAGATCTCATGGGGTAGGACAGGGATCTGGCCTGAGCCTCGTGGGCTGCGTGCCATGCCGTGGGTAAGTCACATCCTCCGTGGTTGGTGCACCTCAGAGCTCCCGGCGTCCACCTGGAGTTCTTGTGTGTGGCATGGTATGGCCTGGCTGACCCTGCTTGATCCTAGACCTTATGTCATTGCATCTCAGCCATCATCTCTGGGAAGATGCATGGTTGTTTGGTTGCCTAATTAAACTCTGACTTGCCAATGATCGCACTCCAGTTTTGGAAATCTGGAAGTGTGCCTCTTACCGTTGATAAATCACGGGACATAGGGGACGAGTATCACTGGACTGTGTAAGGGGAAGTTGTGCATGGGTTGTCACAGGTGGCAGATAGGTGGCAGGGGCCTGGGTGCCCCCACTGGCCCCTTTCTGAGCAGCTGTGCATCTCTCCTGTGTTTATCCTCTAGCTGGGTCTTCCCAAGTCCAGTGTTGCCCTGAAGGCCACCGGAGCTGGCTCCAGATGTTCCATGCTGGAGCACAGGAGGAACCCACCGGCATCTGAATCCCAGATGTGGGTTGGGCTAATCAGAAATAACTGGACCAGGATTGTCTCCCCATTTTACAGATGAGGAGATTGAAGCCCTGGGACAAGATGTGATGTAAACACAGCCATCCCAATAGTGACAGGGCTGGTTTCTAAACTCCGGTCTCCTGGCAGCCAATCCTGCCTCTGTTCTCCCCCTCTTCTTATGCACCTCCTCCCGTACCCCCAACTCCTCACCTCCAGGGATAGAGGGGGAAGGGGGGGAGAATAAAGCTAACCAGGGCAAAGGAAGGGCTTCTGGTGGTTGAAGAACATGGAGAGGGTGCACCTCCTGCCTTTGCCCCTCTTCCATTCCCCTGCCCATGCACTCACCCCTAGCTCCCTCACGCTTCACCCACCAGGGCTCCTGGGCTGGCCCTCCCCCTCTTTCCCTGGGTTTTTACCACATCCCCCCCCTCCGCCCCCGACCTCCCTTCTGACCAGCAGAGCAGGACAGGCCCAGGCCTCCTAAGTCTCTGCATTGCAATGCCATCTCCTTGGCTGGCGTTGGAGCCCTTGAACGCGTCTGTAGAGAAGGCACAGAGGGTTTCAGGGCATGAGAAGGACCAGCGGAGCCGAGAGCTGAAGACAGTCCGGGCACGCTGCAGAATTTTGAGAGCCCAGTCCCAAATGAAAGTGCAGGGCACCTTGTTCAGACATCACAAAAGATGTCAAGAGCAACAGCACAGCACTGAGCGCGCGCAGGGCCCTTCTGAAGGTGACCGCACCGCAGGTACATCCATGAAGCCCCACTGCATGGAGGAACTGTGTGCAGAGTGACAGGGAGACAGGAACGGGGGTGTTTTCTTCTGCCATCTCATTACTAAATTGCCCTTGAGGTTGATTGTACCTTTTACAGAGAAGGAAACTGAGGCTCAGTGAGGAGAATCATTTACCCAGAGTGATGATTAGGGGTGGCAGGCGCCTGAGTGCTAACCCAGGCCTGCCGGGCTGCAAACCTTATCTCAGCCTGTGTCTGGGAGTGGGCGGGGGCCGAGGGAAGCAAAAGATGAGACCAGGCATCAGTGGAGCTATGTGGCTAGTGGTAGCCATTGGGGAGTCATAGAAAGCCAGGGAAGGACCTAGAGTTGAGCCCCATCCTTCCAACCCTTCCAGTCCATTCTGTTCCCATGGCAAGTGGGAAAATGGAAGGGAACTGGAAGGAGCTCCCAGGATCCACAGGACTCCTGCTTGAGCCTGGGATTAGGTTTCCATTCATGGTCCACAGGGAGATTTATCTCTGCAGGAGCACTGAGGGGTGAAGTCAATGATTTAGGAAGTGACTGAGTTAGGGCGTCCTGGAGATAGACTGTCACTGCCTGAGCATCCAGTCTGAATGTCCCACTTGGGGTGACAGTGACTGTGGAGTGGCCGAGTCAGGGGTCTAATGAATGCCAGCACATTCAGCGCCTGCCTTGCAGAACCCATAACTGAATACTGGTGAGGGCCCCGGCCTTGTAATTAGCCCCCCAGGTGTCAGTCAGAAACCCACAAACAACCAAATCCCCGGCCCCGCCCAGCCTATCCACCAGCGGGGGACGATTAACCATTAACCCCCAGCCCTCCCCGGCACAGCCTCCACCCCTTCACAGAAGCTAGGCCCAGACTCCAGGCTGAGCCTCCCAGAGGACAGTTTGAAAGGAAGGAAGGCAGAGAAGGGACCTGGGGGAGATAGGGGGAGGGTGGAGGGCAGGGGCTGGGAGTGGGCATCCTGGGTAGGGCGGGTGGCCGAGGCGCGGAGGTAGGGGAGAATGCGCCTCTCCAAAACTCTGGTCGACATGGATATGGCTGACTACAGTGCCGCGCTGGACCCGGCCTACACCACCCTGGAATTTGAGAATGTGCAGGTGTTGAGCATGGGCAATGGTAGGTGGGGCAGGTGTGCCCAGGTATGGGAGCCGATCTTGGTGCTTGGTTTCCGGGTGGGAGGAGAATGGTAGAAAATGGTAGGTGGGTCCTGTGGGCTGCATAGATGTTGCCAGGTGAAGCCCAGGTACCACAGCCAGAGGCATTCTGGGTGAGGGGAGCCTGGCCAGGGCAGATTTTCAGCAAAAATGGATCCCAGTATCCCCCTATTCCAGGCCCTTCCACAGTCCCTGTGACCTCAGAGCTGTCCTGCTGGGCCTGCCGCTGGCAACAGAGATGTAAAGAGGAGCTCCTTTTCAGTGTCCAGTTCCAATAATTCAAACCAACATGCCCCCCTGGAGGCCCTTGGCCTAGGTCAGAGAGATGGAAAGGTGCTTGTCCCTGGAGACAGTGGCTGGAGGCACAGCTGCATTTCAGAGTGTCCTTGGGACTTTCCCGGGGGAGTTGGAGTGTAGAAAGGAGCTCTCGGGCAAGATTAGCTGGCGCAGAGGCCGCCTCGGCTGTGTGCTGTGTGTGTGTTTCTGTGTGTGATTCTGTGAGTTTCTGTGTAGTGTCTGGGAGGGGCAGACGCGTACCTTTGGAAGTACATTGGCCTATTTGTGTTTAGGCCTGTGTGTGTTCTGCATCTGTTCCTGTTGGTATTTGTTCCTCGAGTAGGTCTGTCTGTGTCCCAGGGCTGTGTGTCTTGTTTACGTAACATAAGCAGCCTGAGTGTGTGTGCAGGTCTGTGGATGTCTGTTCACAAGTGCCACGTTAGCTGGCTACATTGGTGGAGGTGGGCACACGTTTTTGTGCCCCGTGCTTTCTGCCTGTGTGTCCTGTGAGCCATTCTGCGGGGCACCCATGTCTGCACCTGCTGTGTGTCTGTGCGTATCCCCTGTGTGGGGGTCAGCGTGTGACCTTGCAAAGCCTTTTGTGTGATCTCTGCTGTAGCCATTCACCAAATGAGCTTCACACCAGCCTCATCTCCATCTGCCTCTCAGCAGGTATTGTCACCTGTGTGTGACTTTCCAGGTTGGTTCTCACTTCACTAATGATGCATCTGTAGGCACTGGGCGGTTCTCCGGTTCTCTGCAGGAGGTGGGAGGAAGCAGAAAGCCTGGAAGCAGGAAGACCCTGGAGGCAGGAGGCAAAGGGCCCTAGCGGATCCCAGGCCAGCCTCAGAGCAGAGATGGCAGCTGGTCGAGGTCAGCCTTCCGCTGCTTCCTCCCACAGCTCTGAGCCCCTTGGTGACAGGCTCTGGCGGAGGGCTGGCAAGTGCTGGTTCATGCAGCTAGAAAGAGGAGGTGGCAGCTGGGTCAGTCTCATTGGTGCTCACCCACCCCTGCCATCCACCATTGTGTGACCTTGGGCATGTCACCTCCTCTCTTAGCCTCTGCATCTTCTATGAAATGGGCTTCTCCACCCCAGGAGAAGCCCATCTGGCTTCTAGGAGGATCTGGAGCTCCAGGGGGAAGTGCTCTGGAAACAGCAGACATGTTTCTGTTGCACGAGACAGGCTGTCTTGTGACCTCACAGGGACAGTACGTGCTGTCACACTCCTGGCCTCTGCACAGCTCCATCCAGAGCCCAGGATTCGTGTGCTCCTGAGGCAAAGGTTGACTGGGTGTCCCTAAGTCACAACACCTCCAACTCTGGAGCCCAAAGGATTGGAGCTCAAATCTGACCCCGTGGGAACCCAGCAAGCTACTTTCCTCCCTGAGCCTCAGTTTTCTTATCTATAGAACGGGGATAGTAGTATCGCCTGCCTCCCAGGGCTAACCAGAGGATACATAAGATAAGGTTCCTGAGTGCTTAGCCCTGGCCCCAACATGGGTCATCTCAAGGACCCTGGGCATCTGTAAGCAGGGTCTGACTCCTCCACTGGCGCTTGCAGTGGTCTGGGTGTTGGGGTTACGTGACGTTGTCCTCTAAAGATTTGGGGGTATATTCTGAGCTGGTTGCTCAAAGGCTCCAAGGATAGACACCCATCCCCCACCCCAATTCAGAAGCAGCAGCAGGAGGGGTCCATGTTTCTTTTTTTTTCTTTTTGCAGTACTAGAGATAAAGCCTAGGGGCGCTGTACCACTGAGCTATATCCTCAGCCCGTTATTTTTTAAATTTTGAGATAGAGTCTCTTTAAGTTGCTGAGCCTGGCCTCCAACTTGCAATCCTCCTGCCTCAGCCTCCTGGGTCACTGGGATTTCAGGTGTGCGCCACCACACCAGCTGGGGTCCTTGTTTCTTGAGACTCCAACAGACACTCCAGCATAGGCAGCATGGTGGAGCAGTGCAGCACACTCACACCATAAAATGGCCTCTCTACTTAGCCTCAGTGTTATGACACTGGGCACGTCACTTGTCCCTTCTGAGCCTCGGTGTCCTCACCTGGAGAATGGGTGTGGCCAGCTGACTTCAGGGGGAAGATGATTTTCCTGATGGTACCCAGCCCATCTTACCCAGAGGGGGCCCCTTCCAGTCTCTGCCTGAATGTCAGGGAGTTTCGGAGTCAGCTCTCCCTGGGGGCCCAGGGAGGAGAGCTGAGGGAGAAAGGGCACCAGACGCAGCTTAACAATTATCCCTGTCTCCAGGAATAATTCACCAGGTGGAGGGGCCACACTCCTGCGCACACTCGGGAGTCCTAGGAGACGTTCAGCCAGGCGACGTCAGAGCTGAGATGTGGTCTGCTTGGCCACGCGGGCTCAGGTCACCTGCGGCAAGAGCCCCCTTCTGCAGAGAAGCTTTTATTTCACGGTCGCTGATACAGGGCTTTCTATGGGCCAAGCGCTCCACATGTATCAATATGGGAATCCTCAAAACGACTCCAGGGGATCTTATTATGCTCCCTGGTTTACAAGTGAGGGGACAAGGCAGCCAGCGTCACGTGACCAAGTGGGCAAATTGGGATCTGATCCTGGACCACACGGTTTCAGAGCCTATGCCCTAAACTCCAGCACTACGTCCCTCTCCAGGCCTTAACCCATAGTCCCTTTAGGAGTCCAAGAGCAGATTCAGAGTTTCTGTGGAAACAGTCATGCACTTCTGAGGGAGGATGGTCTTGGGTTTTATTATCTTCTCTGAAGGCTTTATTCTTGGTGGAAGATTTGCTTACAAAAAAAAGGAGGCTCAAGGGCTGAGATTTTTTTGAAGTCTGAAAAGATCTGGACGAGTTGAACAACGCCCTTTTGTAGTTGGGGAAACTGAGGCTAGGGGAGATTAAAGCAGGAAAAGGAACTTGGCCAACCCTGACACCACCTAAGCCCGAGGCTCCCTCCCCTGCAGCCTCCAACCTCCCCTGCAGCCTCCAACCTCCCCTGCAGCCTCCAACCTCCCCTGCTTTCAAACATGTGTGGTGCCTTTTGCCTCTGGGACAGGAAGTATTTGAGAGGTGCCTAGACCTTGCCATGACCCTCCCGGGAGGCAAAGGAGTGGGTGTTTCTCTTGCTCCCTGGGGAGCCTGCAGGGCTCATGGGCACCAGGCTGAGATGCACCCAGCCCTGGTCACTGCCGAGGAAGAGGGACAGGACCTGGATCTGGGGAGAAGCTGGGAGAATACTTGTCCCTTCCACGTCCCTTCTGCCCAACTAGGAGTCTCTGGGGTCAAACTCACCTCTGGAGTGGCCAGGTTTCAGGGCTTCCTGGAAAACTGGACTAGAAGCCTCATTGAGGGGACAGCAGCCCCCACCCCCAGATGACCCTGTGAAGTCAGAAGCCAACAGATGCAAAATGAGGCCACGTGACTTGCCCGAGGTCCATGACGGGTGTTAGGGTAGAAAGAGCCTCTAGTCGGGCCTAGGCCGAAGCCTGTGGTTCCTGGCTCTCCAGCCCTCCTAGGCCTCACTCCTTCTCTTCTGGTGCAGACACATCCCCATCAGAAGGCACCAACCTCGCCGCGCCCAACAGCCTGGGTGTCAGTGCCCTGTGTGCCATCTGCGGAGACCGGGCCACGGGCAAACATTACGGTGCCTCGAGCTGCGACGGCTGCAAAGGCTTCTTCCGGAGGAGCGTGAGGAAGAACCACATGTATTCCTGCAGGTGAGGAGCCCCTCGGCCTCCATGTCTCCAGCTGGGAAATGGGCACACTTGGGCTCATGCCCCCCCAGGGTCCAGCTCCTTCCCAAGTGGGTCCCAGAGGCCTCTGCCCTTGAAGGCCCTCAAGACACTTCTGGTTTCTGGGGCTTTGTGGATCTAGGTGGGAGCATCTGCTCTACCAATCCGGCTTATTAACCATTAGAGAGAAGAGACCCATCCTCCACTGTTTCTAAGACAAATATGAGATTGGCCCGTGGCCTTTCTGCCCATCCTAAGGGCTTCCTGAGGGTTTGGAGATCTCTCCTTTGAGAAACATTTCTCATTTTGGAAAACAACAATGATAGAATCACAGCCATGAGCAGATCCTGTGCCAGGCCTCATTCAGGTTTCAGCTCACTGTCCCCTGCGGACAGATACCCCTCTGAGGTGGTTACTGTTATTTTTCCCATTTGATCTATGAGGAAGCTGTGGTTTGGAGGATTCAGAATTTGCCCAAGATCAGTGACGGCACCCTGGTTGACCCTCAGGTCCTCACCCATAACTCCTGTGTGGCCTCACCCCTCCCTCAGACCCTCCCCCCCAGAGATGCTTCTGTGGACCAAGTATCGGCTGAGCCCTCACTGGGAGCCTGCTGTGGGCTCTGGGTTCTCACAAGATAGGGAGACAGCAGTGCTCCGGCACTCGGGAGACGAAGGTTCCCACTCAGCTTATCTCCAACCAGCTGGGTGACCAGGGCCCCATGTTGCCCCTCTGAGCCTCGGTTTCTCCATGTTTGGCAGGATAGGTGGTACTCTCAGAAAATCCACATGGTCCCTCCGTGTCCTGATGGGATATCATGAGAATTCCTGGGGTGCAGACAGAGATAGAGCAAGGCTGCTGGGGTGGCCATATGGTCAGGGTCCCTGTTCTGTCCTAAGTTGGGGAAGTCGTGTCTTTTCCATCCAACCATCCCAAGTCCTCTCCAGATTCAGCCGACAGTGTGTGGTGGACAAAGACAAGAGGAACCAATGTCGCTACTGCAGGCTCAAGAAGTGCTTCCGGGCTGGCATGAAGAAGGAAGGTGAGCCTCAGCCCTCCCCTCCCCACCACCGCCCCACCTGTGCCCATGGCTCCCTGGCCGTCATTTACAACTGTAGCCACACTTTATGGCTCGGTGACAGGCCCCAGGGTGACTGGCTGATGGCTGAGAGGAGGGAGGGCCTGGAAATCTGACCATAGGGAGCGGCTGGGCTTGGTCTTGAGAAAGATTCAGAGATAAGCTCCCGCTCAGATACGTGGGCTCCCAGCAACTGCCACCCCTGCCCTCCTGTCCCACCACCAGGGAGCCGAGCTGGGTGTTTCTTCTTAGGGTAATACCTCAAACTTTACAAAAAGCATGGAGTGTAATACCGTAAGCATCTAAGGACCCACCACCCAGACTAATGGGCTCACTATTCCTGGGCTTCCTGTTCAAGGGACAAATGTCCCAATTCCCTTGGCCCTCATTCTTGGGTATCGGGTGATCTCTAAAGTTTTTCCCATTCTAGACAAAGGGAGCAAGGTGCCAGCCTCCTCCTGGATGGAGGAGGAGGGGAGGAACAGGGCACGGCATCCCTGATGGTCTCCCCAGGCTTCCTCACAAGCCAACACCAGTCACTTGGCTGACTTTTCCCACAATCCACAGCTCGTTCATTCTCGGGCCCACTCTGGCCCACTCTTTTCCTGAAACCAAGGCGCCCAGTGGGGAAGCACTTGTTTGAGGCCCCACAGCTGGTCAGTGGAAAGCCCAGCTTTGTACCTCAGCTTTGTGCTGTTTGGACAACACCTCAATGCTGCTGCCCCTCTAGACCTCTAGGCCCAAGGGATGTTTAAAAGTGGTTCCCATTTCAAAGTAACTGGAGTCATTTTCAAATCTTTTTGTTTCCTTCTTTTCCCGACTCACCTTTTGCAGCTCTGGGACTAACCTCAGGCCTTCACTTCTAGTCCTGTATAGTCCAGGTCTGGTCCCGTTCACACACACACACACACACACACACACACACACCATCCAGAAGCAGAAACCTGGGACCCAGGCTGCCCCAGGTCAACTAGGAAGGAGGTGAAGCTCAGCCTTGGTAGCCTCCTGTCCCCTGTCTCTGCCCCTGAGACCCTGGCTCATCCCTACAGGGCCTTAGGATCAACTTGGAATTTCCACTGGAAAATCTGGGCCTATCGTTACTGCTCCAGACACCACGATTCTAACACTTAGTGGTTCTCCAACACAGTAGGGGTTTTGCAAACTGCCAACATCCCCTCTTCACACCACCACCCCAGTTTGCCTGGGGAGTAAGCCCTCTGACCCTCTGTCACCTTCAAGTTCAGGACCATCTTATGGATTGGGGGATATTAGGAGTGGGGATGTGGTACATGTGTGAGTTTTGGAGATGGGACTGAACTACCGGCTGAGGGCCTCATATTCTATGGTTCCAGGGAACGGTGATTCTGTGACCCCAAAGGCCTAAGATTTGAGGCTCTATGATGGTCCAGAGGTGATATCCCAAAGACGTTGTGTTTGAGAGAAGGAGTCTCATGTAGAACTATCATCTGGTGGGAGAGGGCTGGCAGCCCCCTCAGCTGAGGCCACCTGCCTGGGCTGTCTGTGTCCCTATCCTATCTATGGTCAGTCTTTATATATGTCACTTGTTAACAACCAAAGTAATTTTCACCTGAGTAACTTTAGGAACATTTCCACCTCTTCTGGGCTCCTGTTTTCCATTTATAAAGCAAAGGAGCTGAACTGTCATCCACAGAGCCAGCAACCCCATATGTCAGCTCCTGGGAGGAAAGTGGGCCCCAGGCTGTTCAGCTTTAGCTCAGGTTTGAGGATGGCTACCTGCTTCTTGGACCAGGAAAGCAGATATTTTCCAGGAGAACAGATTTGTGGATGGCCAGTGAGGGTGGGCCAGTAAATGCGGCTGCTTATCTGCAAGCCTGGGTTATGTGGAAGACCATGGCGTGTGCTTGGTTGCTTTGAGAAGGGGACAGGGAAGCAGCTGTGGTCAAGGCCTTGGAAGTTAGGGTGTTGCTATCTCTCTCTAAGTCTTTTAGCCCACGGCACCCCTTCTCAGGCTGATGAGAAATTCCCAAAGCCAAGTGGAAGTCAGTGGAAACTCAATGTCCAGGAGAGTTGGGGGCAGTTTTCTTTCCCTTGATGTCTACAGGAAGATTAGGGGACTGAAAACCAAGAGTAGTCCTGGAAGACAAACAGTAGGAGCTGGAAATGGAGGGTGTCTGGACTAGAAGTCATCAAATCTATCACTCTGCCCTTCATCGGTGGGGAAACTGAGGTGACGGAGTCTGGCTTAGAACTCAGGCTCCTTGGCATGAGCAGGCACCAAGCTCCAGGGATTGAAATTGCAGTGACGTGTTTGGGAGGCACGTTTGGCCTGGACTCCGAAACTTCCTCTGGACCACAGGGAAGAGCTGGAGATCACACAGGCCTGTGCGTCTTGGTCAGAAGATAATTCCACAGTGTCTAGAAAGGGGTTCCTGGGGGTGCAAAGACTTGGACGGGGGTCTGGGGAGAAACCTGAGGATCAGTGAGCCCCATAGCAGCAGAGAATGGCGAGCGGCCATCTGGGCAGGGGAGAGGGACCCAGACGCCTGGCACAGGCCCCGCCCCAGCGTGCTGTAGAAAGATGGGCTCATCTCCTCGCTGCCTCTGCCCTGGCCGGTTAATATTCAATGGAAGTTACATTAGGTCCCCGACCCCTGCTAATACTGAGCAAACATTTGGAAAACATCATTCCGTGACTGAGCTCGCGCCGGGCACTGATAAGGCCAGCTTAACCTTGAGGAGCCCTGTCCGCAGCTGCTGACGGCAGCCCTTTCATTGCACCCGCCTCCCCATGGCGCCCTGTTGGGTGCCGGCTGCCAGGGGAGGGGTGAGGCGCCTGGGTGAGCACCCACAGGACAGGGATGTGGGCTAGAGGAGCTCTCCTACCTCAGGATCTCTGCTGCACCCCCACTGACCCCTGGGCTCACTTTAGACTGTTGGACTTTTATTCTCCACACTGTGAAATCAAGAGGAAGTGAAATAGTCTGGGTTGTCCGTGTTCCATGGAGAAACAGGGTGTTAGTAAGAATGAGAGCCATCTCTCCAACACCCTCTTCCACTCACTGACAAATATTTATTGAGCACCTACTGTGTGCCAGGCTGCATTCCCGGTGTTGGGGAGACAACAGAGAAGAAGAAGGCTAACGTTCTGGTCCTCTGGAATCTTCCATCTCCTAGGGAGGTGGATAATAAAGAAGTTGAAAAATAATTCTAGAATAAGTGCCTTGAAGAAAAATCAAGTAGGGTGAGAGGACAGGGCCTGAGGGAGGGGATGCCACATTGAACAGGGGATTGGAGGGGGAACATGATACTATTATGGAGACATGAATGAAGCGAGGAAGTCACTAAGCCCTGGGGGAAAGGGGATTCCAGGCAGTGGGGCAGCAGTGGCGGCCCTAAGGAAGAGGGTGGTGTGTCTGGGTGGCGAGGGGTGCTGCAGATTTGGTAGGAACTTGAGGGGTAAGGCCTGCACCAGCCCAGAGGGGAGATAGTGGGCCGCTGTGTACCTAGGGATTGCTGACAGCAGGGCGGGGTGAGTCAGTCTGGGGTAGTGTGAGAGAAGTTCAGGACGACCCCCAGGGTTTGGCCTGAAGGGCTGGGAGAATCCACCTGTGGCTTCCTGAGGTGGGAGGACATGCAGGGGGCAGGCTGAGGGGCAGAACTGTGGGTGGGGACACTGAGGCCAGGAGTGGGGAGGCCGTTCCTACCAGCAGAGAGTGAGAGGGATTCCAGACACGAGCCCAGGTCTCTGCAGCCTCATTTTCCTGCTTCAGCAAAGCCTCGTTATACAGGGAGGCCTCTGGGACTCCAAGGGATGTGTCTGGGACAGTGGCAGGACAGTCTGATATCTTAGGCCAGACTGACTCGGGTGGTGGTGGGCACAGGCCTGGATCCCCGGCTCTGGAGGGCAGCCAGCATGGGCAGGAGGGAGGCAGCCTGGCCCTGCCAACTCTGAGGTCAGTCCAGGCTCAGGGGTTCATGCTGGTGGATGAGCCACCAGGGCAGTGGGTCCCTGGAGGACCTGCCCAGGGCTAGGGCTTCAGCCTGGTCTTCAGGAATCCCTGGCCATCTCTGGATCACCTGGTTCAACTCGTTTTACTTGTTTTACACACTTTTCATTTGGAGAGAAAGGCTCCCTCTTCTAAACCACCTGAAAACCTGTGATCTCTAAGCTGCCCTCCTCAGTGCCCCAGGCCCATCTTCAGGCCTGGTCCAGTCTCCAGTGTCTCACAGGCCCCTGGGGATGGGCCATCACTCCTGCAGCCTCCTACTGTGTGGGGGAAGTTCTGGAAAGTTCTCCTGCAGGCTGATTTAGAACCTGCCTCCCTCATTCCCACATGCAGAGCTGGGCTGTGTCCTCTGCATGTCCCACCCCGGCTGCGCTGCCTTCCCCTGGGGGCAGCCCTGAGCTGAACTCTCTCCTCTTGCACCACTCCTCAGGGTCATGGGACATCCACCCCGACCCTCTCTGCCCTCTCCTCACCTCTCCTGCCTCCTCACAGCCGTCCAAAATGAGCGGGACCGGATCAGCACTCGGAGGTCCAGCTACGAGGACAGCAGCCTGCCCTCCATCAATGCGCTCCTGCAGGCCGAGGTCCTGTCCCAGCAGGTACGGGGGTGACCCTTCTGCCACCTGGCGTGTCTCACACTCTACAGTTGTCTTAGTTCCTCCACCTCTGTCCTCCCCAGCCAGGCTCTGGAATATCAGATATCACAGACGGGAAACTGAGTCCCATGTCACATGGCCCCGTTTCATAGCAAAGACAGAATTCGGTGTTGACCTGATGCTGCGGGGCGCTGTGTACTTCATCCCACGTTCCGTAGGCCAAGCAGCGTCTGTGCTCTCAACTGAGGGCTTGACATCAGTCCCAAGAGAACAGAGGGGCAGACCACTAGACTGGGGTGTCAAACTGGGGCTCAGGTAACCCCTTGCTGTGTGGCCTCAAGCAAATCACAGCTCTTCTCTGGGCCATGGCAGCTCCCTCTATGAGATGAGGTGATGAATTTTTCCCAGCTTCTCCTCTAGGGCTGAGGGATTCCTGGGGCTCTAAGGAACTGGAGGAGGAGCAGGCAAGCACCAGGCAAAGGTCCAGAGAGAGCCCTCTCCTTCCTCTCTGTGTCCTCCCTTCTGTCCTTTTCCCCAGAGCTTCCTTCTGAGCTGGAAGGCACCCATTGGGCCAGTCCCCTGCAGGCAGGGAAGGGTTCTGGGAAGCAGGCTCTGTGCAAGTGCTCAGCACTTCCTTCCTCTCTCCTAGATCACCTCCCCCATCTCGGGGATCAACGGCGACATCCGTGCCAAGAAGATTGCCAACATTGCCGACGTCTGCGAGTCCATGAAGGAGCAGCTGCTGGTGCTGGTGGAGTGGGCCAAGTACATCCCAGCTTTCTGCGAGCTCCTCCTGGATGACCAGGTGAGGGCAGAGTCCTGCGGGTCCCCCTGTGAAAGAGCCTTAAATGGATTCGATTTTATGAAACAAAACACATAGTGCTCAAGGGTTCAAGTCACTCTACAAAGAGTAACTCATTGCACCCCTCCAATGACTAGAGGTAGGTACCGTGAGTCCTCCCACCTCCTAGGTGAGGAAAGGGGGGCACGGGAAGGTTAAGTTACTTGCTCAAGGTCACACAGAGGGTCTCCTGCACAACTGGGATTAGGACCAGCCAGGGAAGCTCCAAAGTTCAGGCTCCTAACCACCACAGTACACAGCTCTTCCAGGGGGTGGTGACAGGGATTCAGCGACAGAAGTCAGGAGGTTTGGGCTTACCACCAGTTCCCTGGGTGATCCTAGATCAATCACTTCTTTCTGACCCTCAGTTTTGTTATCTGTCAAATGGGAATTCTTCCCACCAGAGCACTGTCAAGAGGACCGAGGAGTTACTGTTTGATAGGGGCAGGATGGCCTACAGCTGGACCACAGCAGGCCTCCCCACCATCAGGTTCTTTCTTGTTTTCAACAAGATGGGTTTCCCTTAGCATTTAATTTCCCAAAGTTCCTACTTCCGAACACTGAAAATCTCCCATGGGTGAAAAGGGCCGGGGAAGGTAGTGTGTGACTGAGAACAAATGGCTTTCTAAGGTGCTGCATGTGACGGAGTCCCCCCTCCTTACCCCACCAACTACATGGGCCTCACAGACAACTCCTAGGAGAAGGGATGTGGACTGAGCCACCATCACAGTGTTGGAGGAAGCATCTGGTGCCTTTGCACAAGACAAGCCTTGCAGCCAGGCTGGTCTTTCTCAAAGAAACTTCCAAACTTCTTTGGCCCCTGGGCTCTAGGGAACCGCTGTAAGACGGCCCCATGGGTGCTCTATGAAAACTCTGATCTGGCTCTGCTGCAGCCTTTCCCGGGGCTGGACCAGAAGCCTCTTCCCTGGATTCCTCCCACCCTTAGGAGAATCGACGGGCAGGGATCTTGTCCAAGCTGCCCCCGACTTCTCCCCTAGCCCTCGTGCTCTGGCTGCAGTCCCTCTGCAGTCTTCCAGGGTGTCCACATTAATGTTTAATCCCCCTGTTCCTTCCCAGGGGCTTAGCAGGGCAACAAGATACCCCGAAGCTGAGCAATTGTTAACCTCAATTTCCCACCCAAACCTCTCTGGCTGGGGCTCAGAGCATTCTCAGAGGGCAGTGATGGGTGGCCAATAACACCAGACAATCATTAACCCCCCCAGCTGCCCGCCCCCCAGCACAGCTGCCACATCAGGGCTGGACCTGGGAACCCATTCATGGTGTAAAAGGAGCCCATCTCGCCCAGCACACACAGGGCCCACCTGGGAGAGTTAAGGTCACTGTACCCCAAAGGACTTGGCATTCCTGTTGCCCCAGGAACCAGCTTCTAAGTGCATGTGCTTCTTGGCTTATTTTGGACATTCTTTGTTGAGACCTGGAAGTGGCTGGGGATGAATGCACAAGGAGATTGAGGACAAGAGAAAGACAGTGAGTGGCCTGAAGCCACAGAGCAAGCTGACCGCAGAGCTGGGATCTGAATCCAGGTTCCCTGCCTCACAGTTTGAGAGCCACCGTCTGATTGACACAAGGTCTGCTCGGTGCCTGGCCAACGGGCGGTGCCGGGTGACCAGCATCCTTTGCTTCCTTCCTACTGGTCATGGAAAGTGGATTCTCACCTCCAAGGTGTCCCATGTTTCCTCTTTTTCAGTCTTTCTTCTGGCCACAGGGGGACAAAAGGACAGAGGATGCCCAGGAGGGGTTAGATCTGGCGAGGAAGCTGTATGCACATGCCTTCATCCCTGAACCTGTTCCTTCCTTCCTTCCTTCCTTCCTTCCTTCCTTCCTTCCTTCCTTCCTTCCTTCCTTCCTTCCTTCCT